AGAAAAATAAACACGTAATCGCTATTCATAATCGACAGGTAACTAATCTTTTAGGTAGAAAACTTTTCCGTGTTTTGTATAAAAGTTTATATAGAAGCACTTGTTGAACGTTATGCAAACAAAAAGGTGGTGGGAAGCTTACATAATATAAAAACCAAGTTATTACAATATAAATTCTCATAATATGCAGTAAATCGTTTGTAAAATACAAAAAAGTAATGGTTTCGATTAGTTCTGGCGATGGGGATCGTGCAGATTTGTATGTTTGAGTATTGGTTTGTGGTAAAGTGAGTGCATGTTTTTTTTTTAGTTTGGAGAACATTTGACTACAAATTCGAAAGGGCAACTGGTGATTGGCAACATCGTGGAGCCACCTCAAATACCACCACCTTCCAAACGACCAAGAGTAGAAAGTGTTGAGACAGCTCCATTATGCCCGTCTGTTGGTTTAAATTCAACCACGATTGCTGCAGTGGTTTCATCCGTGACAGAACAATCAATGAACCCAACAATCTCAACAGATTCTTCCACAAATTCATCCTCTTGCCTAACGATTCAATCCTCGTTTCCGAGCCTTAGCCCTTCTACTGATGCCGTTCATCCATCTACTAATGTTAGTGCTGAATCAGTTCCTTTTCACAATACTACATGTGAATTGGGTACCACGACTTTGCCAAACGAAAAAGAATTATGTGAAAATGTACGTTTTTTAAAAGTTGCTGGAACATGTGTCTCGCTGTGGCTTTTACCCGAACGTGTTGGTGTTAGTCAATCTTCTACTTGCCTCAATATCACAAACGCCAGCACCATTACAGCTCTTTTTTTGGGTCACATATGGCTTGCAACAAGAGTTAATTTCCCCGAGGATGGTACTCTCCATCACTCCTGGTTTTCTTCGATTCTGTATGCTACGAAAAAGGGGATCACTTTATCGAACGAATCTGAAGATGGTGCACGTACACTGACCGTGGAGGAAAATAAAACTTATCTATGTAGAAGTCTTTTAATTGATATCGTCCTGCATCCAGCAGCAATAGTCCGAATGAGCGACCCCAACCCTTCATCACGTTTGGCGTGCCACCTGGAAAGGATGGCTGGCATGAAGGCTGCCATCTTTATTCATTCCGCGAAAGCTGTTCTATTCTTGTCGTGCAATAACAACTTGATGATGATCGATTGCCACAGGAATGATAGTTATGGTGCAGTTATAGTAAAGGGTGACATTAATGAATTGCCACAGTTTCTCAGGTCGATAGAAAGCACCCTTGGACTTGACGAGATTTGCTACGGGGATTTTATATGTTTCACCTAGGTTTAGTGCAAACATGTGCAGAAATCATTTCCCATTGTTGACGTTTAGTTAAATGTATTATCAAAATGATCAGTTAAAAGCATTATAATCGCCTACTGGTCAATATCCCAACACATTCCCGCGCGCGACGCTTTTAGATGGTTACGTACTCCACAGTTTTCCAGAAAGTGGAATATGTTCGGTAATATTTCGTTAATTGATCGAACTGAAACTTTCAAGTATAAAGTCCTCGCACGAAGCTCGCTGCGAATGCTTGCTTGATTAAAATTAGCTCTTATTAGCAACCATTGTGATTGGATGAAAGTACTCATGCATACACTTGCAGCGAGCTGCGAGGAGCTTCATGCGAGGACTGGAATTTGTGCCATTAAACCCTTTTAAAAAATATCTCGGGAACTTGATGAGATATTGCTGTTTGCGAAAACGCTGTTCTTACTGAATTATGTATACTGCACTACACTATAATATGGGTCACTGAGAATCAAGTAGGAGAAAGAGTCAACCAAATTGATTGAAATTTTATTATGATGTTACTAATACTAAACTAAGGCTACTGTAAAAATATCAAGACCAAATGTAAAGTCGGTCTGTGTTAACCAGCCCGACCCACTTTATTACGTGTTCCGCGTACTGCACTATAATATGGGTCAGTGAGAATCGACCCTGATTTTGCAAGCAGTAGAAAGAGTCAACCAAATTGATTGAAATTTTAATATGATGTTACTAATACTAAACTAAGGCTACTGTAAAAATATCAAGACAAAATGTAAAGTCGGTCTGTGTTAACCAGCCCGACCCACTTTATTACGTGTTCCGCATACTGCACTATAATATGGGTCAGTGAGAATCGACCCTGATTTTGCAAGTAGTAGAAAGAGTAAACCTAATTGATTGAAATTTTAATATGATCTAACTAATACTAAACTAAGACCAGTGTTGTAACGAGTCACCTACAGGTCGAGTCACGAGTCGAGTCACTCAAAGGTCGAGTCACGAGTCAAGTCGAGTCATTTCACTTTCTGATCGAGTCGAGTCAGTGGTTTCACTCGAGTCGAGTCAGCGGTTTCACTCGACTCAAGTCGAGTCACTGGTTTATGTCGAGTCGAGTCAATAGCCAGACTTGAGCCAGGGAATTTGATCAAGTTTACCCACATCCTTGTCCCCAGGGCCTCTCGGCCGCGCGCGTCCTCCATAAGCCCTGGAACATATTGAACCGGAAGTGCAAGAAAACTTGCAGTAGTTTCTAAAGCGCATGGTCCTGAATTGGGACACTTTAGCACCCGTAACAATTTTCAAAGTGAAGTATTACGAAGAAACGAAGTATTTGCGTTGACATATGTTGATAGAATAATTTTTCCTAGCTAAAACTGCTCAACTCTGCGAAATAGGATTTCTCTGAGAAGCCAATCAGATCTCTTGCTCTAGTCGTCTAACCCAGACCCTAATTTTCAACGAGTGACCGAGTGAAAATGGCTCTGCGGACGAGAATGGTCCACCCCGCGCTTTCTGCAATAGTTGGTTACCTTAGCTTGCATTTTGAAATTTGTGATCAAATTTACGTTTTAAGCTAATCACTTTAGTCATGTAATAACAGTATCTGGGGTTAGCCATAGGCTATACCAATATCACAGTTCTAGTCAATATTAAGTACAACCACATGAGATGTCTCATCATGCCTGCTGATCGAGTGTACGTATCTACATCTAGCATAACTTGCAACTGGAGTCAGAATTAACAAAGAACAGACTTTAATTAACCACGCCTTGGAAGTTAATTTGAAATTATATAGCACTTCATAAATACCAAAAATGAAGATAGCCGGTCAGAATTAGAACAAGTACAAAAGATTTTGAAACTCCATTTTAAAAACTGTGGCACTAGCGTTTTTTCTAAAAACAGAAATGTAATATAGGCATGCCCGTCAGGAATATATTGTATTCTATGTAAATCCCATATATATTCTGATAAAGTTTCGAAGTTCTCATTGTTCACAGAGCTCATTGTTTTTCCAAAGAAATACAATCACAATAATTTTGATGAATTTATTCTGTACAAGTTGTAGCTTAGTTGACTCGAGTCATTTACGGCAAAATGAGCAAGTCGAGTGCGAGTCGAGTCATTTCGAGCTGTTGACTCGAGTCAAGTCGAATCATTTTTCGTTTTGGACTCGAGTCGCTGAAAATAGTGACTCGAGTTGACTCGAGTCCGAGTCAATGACTCGACTCGTTACAACACTGACTAAGACTACTGTAAAAATATCAAGACAAAATGTAAAGTCGGTCTGTGTTAACCAGCCCGACCCACTTTATTACGTGTTCCGCATACTGCACTATAATATGGGTTACTGAGAATCGACCATGCATTTGTAAGATGTTGCGACCTTAACATAGGTGGGAGCATTACATTAATCGAACTGATAATCCCATATACTTTAAAAAGAAAACCATTATGTCTATTTGAACAACAACAATTTACAAATTACAATGATCTTGTGATGGGGTGCGAGTGTGGGACGTGATAAGTAGATACGAAGAGTAGGTCATCGGTCTATCTGAAACAAGCGAGCAATTTCCTCGACGTTCACTTTTTTATTTTTGATGAAGACGAACAATCTACTCTTCGTATCTACTAATTTACATAATTAATATATACATATAGCCAGTTTTTTTTGCGTCATTTTGAGCTAAAGTGAGATGAGCTCCGATATGCGATGAGCCGATGACATGCACATTCATAATTAATTGCATTTCTTTTCATTTTTATTTGGTATACACTAGCCGGATTTATATTAGAACACGGATTTCCGTCTGAGACGGAGAACTCGCGTCTAAGACGGATTTTCGTCTTAATATAAATTCGGTACACGACGGGTTCTCCGTCTTAACTTTTCCGTCCAACTTTTCCGTCTAAACGACGGATAAGTTGGACTGGTTATTCGTCTTAGACGGAAAACTCGTCTTAAATTTACGTTAAACGAATAAATCAGACAGATTTTAGCTGACAACATTTGGTATTAGTGGTAATTGGCGTTTCACGATGTTTTACGATGCACAGCATATAAAATCTTTTGGCTGTCTTTTAGTTTTGCGTCCTAAATTATTTATTTTAGACGGACATCCGTCAGACGAGTTCTCCGTCTCAGACAGAAATCCGTCTTCTAATATAAATTCGGCTACTGATGTGTTATAATTGCAGTAGGGACATACAGTAGGGATATAAAACTTTTTTCATGTTAAAGAGACGCGTGATCTCTCGTTAGTAGCGAAGCCAGCCCGAAAATTTGATCATGCTATATGCAAATTTAAAATCGTTATTCAGTTCTTTAGAAATTGACTGTTTTTACAGTCTATGAACACGAAAATATTTGCATAGCGTGACCACTGAAATAGTCGGGCTGGCTTCGCCACAGTCTATCGTAAATGTAACTTTTCTGGTTTATTACAAACAATAACCAAAGTACAAATATTAACTAAAAAGTACAAGCTCTCCAACTCGAAGTTTTCCAATTTCTTTAGTTTTTCTTCATGTTTCATGATAGAAAAGTGTTATAAATACTCTTTCTTGGGAGAATATTGTTGTCCAAATAACTTTCGTGTGGGTGAGAAATCACACTGTGACAAACGCTGAAATAAAAATGTAAAGATTTGTTTGTATTGTTAACGACGTCCATTAATTGATGCGCATTGTATATATGCTTAATTTTTTAATCAAACTCTATTTAAAGCGTGCACTTATTGTACCAGTTTAAGAGATGCAAAAGAAAAACGAATGGATGGTTTTTGGGACACAATGCATATTTTACTATGCGTCCAAATTCGGACTGTATTTTACCAAGTGTTACGCTCAATTTGAAATATATAGAGGTCAATTGTAAGTGTTTCCAAGTCACTTTCTCTCTAATTTTCTCAAATGGATACGTAAGGATTTATTGTCTTTGCCCGAAAAGCAGAAATATTTCCCGCGAAAAATTGTCGGTTCACTGCCCCACTCGTACGTGTATGACTAACTTAATAAATGCTTAAAGTAATGTATTGTGCACACGCAGTTCTCTTTAATCCTTGCAGGAACCCATCACTGGTTGTTCAACTTACTTCTTCAACAAAACTCTGAAGTGTAGTCATTAGACCGATCACCTGATTATTAATGGCTGATTAATACAGTAATGGCAACGCCAATACTCAATAAACAATGCCAATAGTTTTTCATTATTTCTCCTTTTTTCGTAAAATTTAATTTTCAAGACAATAACAAAATGCATGCACTCACTGCTGAAAAACATTTCATGCATTTAAATATTATAATGAGTCGTCTATTTATAAGCATGCAGTTGTGGGTTGTTTGAGAACTAGTATACTACTGTTGCCAAGGAAGACATCGAAATATTCAATGCTTTATGATTCAATTTCAAACACAATCGACAAAAATTATAAAATTTTAATATAGCATAGTTATATTGTGACTTATATTGTTTTTTCATTTCATTCATTTATTTAATATAGGTTGATATTTACATAAATTAACACACCCGAAAATAGCATAAGCTAATCTGGGCGGGTGTTGTTATAAGTTAGATATTAACATATTTTTTTATTAAGATAAGTAAAAAACTGTTGCCAAATATTGATATAAGGTTGTCATGCCTTGGATAACTAACTGAAGTCGGTCGTATAAATGTTCGTAAATTCACTGCGAGTGTCAATACTGTAAAGTGCATAATATGGTGCAAAGTTGATTTTTTGTCATAAACATATATCACAAAAGTTAATAGATAATGCCTTATTGGTTAACTTAATACTTAATGTCTCACATGCATGTATTAGTTATACAGCTGTTTCAGTTTAATAATTAAGGTTGTCCTTCCAAAAGCTCGGAGAGTGCAAGGGATGGTGGTTTATTGCTTATTTAGCCTTTAAACTCCGGCTTAGACCTTAGTTTGTAACAAGTTTCCATATGCCTACAGGTATTGTTTAAAAGTTAATTTTTTTTAGTAGAAGGGTCTAAATAAGAATTAAACCATCAACACTTGCACGCTCAGAGTTTATAGTTTTCAAAAGACAACCTTAATCGAAATAGCTGTATATAATAGACAATGTCTTGCCTGAAATAATTGTATTATCAGTATAGCGTAGCCAGCCATAGCAAATGGCCTGCTATAAGCAAAATTTTAATGAGTTGCATTATTCAAAGCTTTAGAAAAGTATTGTCTTTTTAGTTATTTAGATGCAGGTTTTAATTATTAGCATAGCAGGAACAAATATTTAACAGTATTAGTTAGTATTAAATAGGCAATCCTTGTTAAAAATAGAGATGACATATGTTAAGACATGTCACATGAAACATGGAGTAACACTGTACCATAATTATTCAAGTTTACATCCAGAGCTGTGAAGATGCACATTCAGAGTAGCTCTATATCTTTTGCATAACGTTTTAATCATGTTATATCCTAGCTCATTGTTTACTTGATCTAAAAGAAAAAAAGCAAATAATTTTCCTTGGTAAGAGAACCCTATTAATTAAATTACTATATGCAAAAAAATTGTTTAAATTCCAATATTTGTAAAATTTGACTATTGCAAATTTCAATGTAATAACTGTGGATACTATATAATTAGTCTTTTGCCAAAAGACTAGTTGCCACAACAGCCACGTACACATTTATCTACTACAGAATCATTCCTGATGGAGACTAGACTTTCCAAAGTCCTTTCCAGGCCCTTCTATGGCGCGCTTCACTTCTTCTGTGGAAAGGACTTTTGTCACTTGCAGCGCGCCAAATATCACCGGTGGAAAAATCCACCGGTGACGTCATTGTTTACATAATACAGTTGTCTGATTCTTTTCAGTTTATAGATTAACTTCTACTCGCTACGGTAATAAAATCGCTGGCGAACTGAGTCGGACTATTCTTGTCGATCGACATAATTACGGCACACATTGTTTAAATAGACAAACAACTGTGAAGCTTCAATAAGTTTTTACATGCACTTGTTTTTGTTGATCGATACATTGAACAGCTTTCGGCGCTTACTTAACTTGGGTCAGTCATTTCGTTTCCACACTTGGTGCGAACTGTTTTATTCGACGACCAAGAAATATCAATTCTAGTCTAGAGAATGTTTTTGTTTTTGTAGACCCATTGCGGTGCGGTGAAGTAATTGTATGAAATGTACACACCTTTTAATATGTCAAAATTATTCGTGCCAAAATTTTTAATGCGATTTAAATTCCTGCAAGCGACACAAGTCGACCACTCGCGACTTCGTCGCTCGGGTCGCGAACTGACAAGGGAAGATTAATTTAAAGTTTTAGGGGCTGTTCATTTGAGCCGGGCTGGCTTTCCTTGCCGGGCTGACTTTTCCTTTGCTGCATGAGCCGGCTAGCCCGGCAATTTATCACTGGCGCGCTGTGAACACAGCATGAACATGAAGCAGAACATGTTCAGCCCAGCTAGCCAGGCTGGTCCGGTTGTTGCAATCACATGAGCCCGGCAATGCCGGGCCAACCTGGCTTCCATATGAATGCAATTTTTAAAATGTATGACTAGCCGGGCCCGGACCAGCCCGGCAGATCCGTGCTCATATGAACAGCCCCTTATAGTTATACACACAATGACACATTGGCAGTCAAAGACCTTCATATGATACATTGCTGTTCATAGAAAGTTTGCTTTCATTCCATAAACAAGTAGGACCAAGACGCTGTTCGGTAAAGAAAATATTCATGAAGTGCATGTATTACTAAAAGTTGAAAGTGTCAAAAGTAGATAAAAACAAGGTAAAATATCAATAATCATAGATTTATTACTTTATAGCAAGAGAGAAAGCTGGGATTTTTTCGGTTCTCTTACCTTTCACTATTCTGTCTATTCAGGCTTTCAGCTTATAATATGTATCTTGATCTAAGAAGATATACAAACTACGAAGAAATAGATATAAAGATATTTAGACAGCAAATGCGAACAATACGAACAACACTTCATTCTACCAGAACCCGCCATTTTCATAATTCATATAGTGGGCGTTTACATCGGAGTCTTGGGGCAAGTATTCCGTCGTGTATTTGCTCTTCAGCGTCATGTATATGCTCGTGAGTGTGGTGTATTTGCTCATCAGTATTATGCAAGAGATGACCATATATGGAATACGTACTGTATATACATATGCACTTTTTGAGCTTGAGTCAGCCTTCCATGTTATATAGTTCAGTGACATGGGGTGGAACATTGTCAAAAAGAACGCAGGCTTGCTAATTGATGACGTAAGGCGTGATATCGCGATTAATTTCATGCTCACGTGGCACAAACTAAGCTTCCTGATTGGACAATTTGAATTTGGGGTATAATATTTTGTAATATTGATAAGCGTGGCAAGGCGTAAGGAGAGTTGCCTGAATATGATGCTGTAACGTAGTTGTTTTTCAAAAAAAGTCTAAGAGTAAGCGATATATTTGCCGTTCTAGCTAGAGCGGTAACATGGCATAGGGCCACCACCTTGACAAAGTGCTACTGTTCCCGGGATTCAAATATACCTCAGCATACACTCCTACTAAGGTGTGCCCCCGTATTCACAAACAATTGAATCCGCATTTTCTAATGAACTAGATTTGGTGTGATGTTCATACAAACGGCGGGGGGTTTATGTTGGTTGGAATGAAGGATAGTCCTGTATCTTGGACAGTACCATCTAATTATTCCTATGTTGACCCTCATGGTCCCCCACATTGGTCAAGTGATTTGGGCGAAGCTGAAATACCGGACTTTGGAATTCAAGTTTCCTCTAACAACTCATTTCAAGGAACGCAAGCGCACTGGTAAATTTATTTTTGTGTCATTGTCGTCATCAAAGCAACATAACTTACATGGTCAAAGCTCGGGCTGTTCTTAAAATGCGAAATAATAGGAAAAAATGAATCTGTTTTATGAACTATCAAAGTACAGTCAATGGATGAGTTGCCGGTTCGCAGGCCCCCTTTGTTTTGCTTGGCCAATTGCTCCCTGGCGATCCCATAATACGTTGCATTTGTACATAATGCAGTGTAGTATGGGTTCGCCAGGGGGCAATTGGCCGGGCAAAGCGAAGGGGGCCTGCGAACCGGCAACTCATCCATTTGCTCAACCATCGAAGAGGCAGACAATTTGCTTCAGGCAGAAGTCTTTTTCCAGACTGTTTCGGTTACTCCGACTTGGACTTCGATTCATGCATTTCACACATTAATATTTCATGCATGATTAAATTTCTTTCAACTCATGTTCATATCCGTAAAAAATCCAAGTTCTAGCGGTCTGGTGATTAACATAGTGTATACGTTAACTTCTTTAGTACTTTGATAGTTTCAAAGCACGTTTTAAAATGTATGAATTGAAATAATGTTTGAAACCTGGATGTTTTACTTTTGTGCGTGATCCAATTTCAATGTATAACTGCATGGCAAAAACAGCCCTTTTTCACTCAGAAGTTTAATTTTAAGAAAAATTTTCAAGAAAACAAAAGACACTAAGCTATACCCAAACTCCCATAAATTTTCACTTTGTGGCCATTAGATAATTGTTCTTTTTAGACGCACCATGTAGTAACTAAACTTAAAAAGGTCTTGCTTATACAAAAGTATTTTTCCAGTAAAAATAAATAGTTCGACTAATTTATTAAAAACGCTAAAAAATCTTTTTTAATTCCACGGACGTGTTTTGTACTAGTTTTAAACACACGATATATACGTATGATTGCTTGCGGAAAAAGTCGACCAAACACTTATTTTCCAAAAACGTAAACGAGTTAATTATATATTTTATTATATAGGCTCTCCGAAGTCAATTTTGTGAGTAAAAATGTGATAGTTGAACAACTTTAATGTCAAATTTCCCGCCTACTGACACGTTATGGTTTCCATAAGAAGGGCAAATTCATCATTTTTGTCACAAATTTGAAGGATTCCTTCAACTTCGATATTTCTCGACCAATAATAATTCTCTGATACAATAACTAAATTAGCTTTCAAAGTTTTGTAGGCTTTATCGCTTCAATCGAAGGCGACAACTTCGTCATCTTTTCACGAACGATAAATCAACAGGTTGTACGAAAAATGACCCAGGAATTGGCGACGTTACGTATGTAAAAGATGTCCACACAGGATCTATTGCCACGAACAATTTTAAATGTTCCATATTTGGACCTCACACTCACCCACATTTAGGATGGGTAAATATGCTTTGAAACTAGATCTGAAAAAACCTTCTTGATTTAACGTTGGTTTTCCATTCCAGATGGAGTCAAAATCATCTGCTGAAAAATTGTTTTCCTAATTTAAATCCACCACGTATTTATGGTTGGGTATCCCGATTGGATGTATGCATTATAATTCCTGGCGGGGAACAGTTTTTATTGGCGGGGGAGGGGGGATTTCAAATCGTTTTGCAACATATTTTGTTCTTGATATCTTTAGTTTAGCCCCCTCCCACTTTTATTTCTGAGTGCTATGCACCCCTCCTCCCACCCAAAGAATAAAAATATTGACTTCAACATATGAGCATCGTTGCTCGTTATTTACAAAACGTACTATAGTAACCTGCCCAAATAATGGCCATTTTCAGCTTTAGGTTGAATCAGGTTTTGGCACGAGTTATTTCGTGCTTTGGAATGCAAACTTGTTGCATGAACAATTTCGGTGAAAGGATAGTCTACTATCATGACACTTCGGCTAACTGTTGAGTGTAATATATAATTTATAATTTGTGATAAACGGACCACATTGTCCAAAACCTAGATTTTGGTATCAAGATGATATAGAAAATTTTGAAAAATAGTATCGACAGACAACATAAAAATCGACTCCGACGGTTCATTGTGCACTTTGCATTAGTTTTTGTCGTAGGGCTAAAACTGGAACTATGGCCTCATTAAATATCATTATAATTACGTTATGTCATATTAAATTGGTCATTATTAGGCAAGAATGAATTACTGTCTAGACAATGAATGCGTGATTCCAGGTCCTCATCCCTTTCCGTATGGTCAATATGGATCTTTTAGGTAAAGTATTGTTGTAAAAAATGTCTATGCTGTAGGTGCGGCATTCATACCAACCGCAACCATAGCGTTTATATATAGTAGGCAATGGAACCGTGTGCCTACATAACGCGCAAAACGATGTGTCATGCAACAGGCGATTAGCACGCGCGGTGCATTTTGACAAAGTTTGACAATGAGCGACATTTCTAACACATCATTAGATATTCATAGCATTCGGCCAATGACATGGTGTAATTTACATCACGTGTATCTATCTGTATACCCCGTCTAGACTACGACTTTAATTACTTCAAGTGGGAAGGGCTTTGAACAATAGGGAAATTGAGGAGTAAACAAAAGATTATGCAAATATATTTAATTGCTATATGTTTAGAATTATTTCTAAATACAGTAAGCTGTATTTAGAATTTTTTTTCCAACTACACTTTACATCTAACACTTTTTCTGAACGTTTGAAAACTGCATAAATACACGAAAAGGAAAATTACGATTGTTTACCTACTATCATAATAAACAGTACAGCAATAATAGATAGCTTAAGATCTACGACGTCGACGTCAGCTAGGACGTCAGGGCTATGCAGAGGACTGGGACTAGGATGTCGTCCTAATGTAGTCCCAGTCCTCTGCTTAGCCCTGCCGTCCTAGCTAACGTCGACGTCGTAGATCTTAAGCTATCTATTACAGCAACTTACTAGTAATGTTTACCGTCTAATATATTCGACCATTTTCCACCAGACAACGCCATATCACACACACAATCTAATATGTAGTTTTTCCGGGGTGCGGATCTCCATCCTTATAATTGTCATTGAGTGACTTTCTTTACATTTTCGATACTGTGCTCAACATTTTCACGACGAAAGCGAACTGAATGCTTCGTTACACTTCATGCAAACTTTCAAGCGAATGTAGTCGTTAATGTCCCACACTCACTTTTTTGAATAGCTAATAATTTCATGCCTCATTGCTATAAATATCTAATGTGTGTCTTGTGAGAAGCAATTTCAAATCCTCGTTAGTGTTTTAAACTTGGCTTCCAAATCCCCAGTGCCATGAACAATGGCTCGGCTGCGCCACGCCATTGTTCATGACACTTGTATTTAGAAACCACGTCTAAAACACTAACTCGGATTTGAAATATTACTTCAAACACTCATAAATAATTCATAAGCTTATTGGCAGTTTATGTCAACCGTAATATGTCACGTGAAAAGGCTTTATACCTGATAAAACTCATCTTTATTAGTATTCTTTATATAAAAGTTCATCCTATTAGTATTGGTTATGTCAAGATTAGAACGGCATCTATTGTAGTCGTGTTTGAAGCCTGAGCGCTATGCTGAACACAAGAGTCCGTAAACACAATTGAATTGAATTTTTAATTACCAGGCGCATAAAATCCTGTGCTTAACAACAATGGAACAAACTGTTAAATGCTCGTGCTGCGCACTCGCATTTTGAATATGATAAAACACTTCTACGCTTGTTTAAAATAATACTTTATATCGCGCATTTATCAGTGCGCCAATAGCTGTTTCACTGTATTCTCATATTTTAA